CTACATGTATCTACAGATAAGTCGTGTGTGTTACTGACTACATGTATCTACAGATAAGTCGTGTGTGTTACTGACTACATGTATCTACAGATAAGTCGTGTGTGTTACTGACTACATGTATCTACAGATAAGTCGTGTGTGTTACTGACTACATGTATCTACAGATAAGTCGTGTGTGTTACTGACTACAAGTATCTACAGATAAGTCTTGTGTGTTACAGACTACAAGTATCTACAGATAAGTCGTGTGTAATACTGACTACAAGTATCTACAGATAAGTCGTGTGTGTTACTGACTACAAGAATCTACAGATAAGTCGTGTGTGTTACTGACTACAAGAATCTACAGATAAGTCGTGTGTGTTACTGACTACAAGTATGTACTGATAAATCGTGTGGGTTACTGACTACATGTATCTACAGATAAGTCGTGGGTGTTACTGACTACATGTATATACAGATAAGTCGTATGTGTTACTGACTACATGTATCTACAGATAAGTCGTGCGTGTTACTGACTACATGTATATACAGATAAGTCGTGTGTGTTACTGACTACATGTATCTACAGACAAGTCGTGTGTGTTACTGACTACATGTATATACAGATAAGTCGTATGTGTTACTGACTACAAGTATCTACAGATAAGTCGTGTGTGTTACTGACTAAATGTATATACAGATAAGTCGTGTGTGTTACTGACTATATGTATGTACAGATAAGTCGTGTGTGTTACTGACTACAAGTATCTACAGATGAGTCGTGTGTGTTACTGACTACAAGGATCTACAGATAAGTCGTGTGTGTTACTGACTACAAGAATCTACAGATAAGTCGTGTGTGTTACTGACTACATGTATCTACAGATAAGTCGGGTGTGTTACTGACTACATGTATCTACAGATAAGTCGTGCGTGTTACTGACTACATGTATATACAGATAAGTCGTATGTGTTACTGACTACATGTATCTACAGATAAGTCGCGTGTGTTACTGACTACAAGTATCTACAGATAAGTCGTGGGTGTTACTGACTACATGTATATACAGATAAGTCGTATGTGTTACTGACTACAAGTATCTACAGATAAGTCGTGTGTGTAACTGACTACAAGTATCTACAGATAAGTCGTGTGTGTTACTGACTCCAAGTATCTACAGATAAGTCGCGTGTGTTACTGACTACAAGTATCTACAGATAAGTCGTGTGTGTTACTGACTACATGAATCTTCCTAGCTTTAATATTCTCCGGATGGGTGATGTAAGCTCTGTTTGCTTGAAGCGCAGTACTGAGGAGAAAGTCAATTTCCCTAGGTCTGTAATATCGTAAAAGACCAACGCGGTACTTGGATATTATCGAGACCGGAAAGACAAATGACGGATACCAGGAAAGAAACCTTTACGCTACGTACCCAGCAACACTTCTATTTAGCTCTGTACCCTTATGTCATATTTTGGAAAATTGTAAATGTTTGGAATTTAAATTTCTCATTTAAAAATTAATTCCATACATGTGTCTGATCATTCTGAGTCTAAATAGGTTAAATAACCATATATTGTCTGTAACCCTTTCTTTGTGATATGCAAGAACGGCTGTTCTATTTATCATAACAGACTTAATTCATCCGCCATAACAGTGACCTTACCCGAGTTATAAAGGTCCCACCCATTAAATAACACGGACAGTGTAGCTATGATTCCATGAACTAGAAAATATGTAATAACCTTTGCAGATAATTCTTATTATACGTTTTTTCACATCTTGTGTAAATATATAACACACATTATATGTTTGATTGGCATATGAATCGACATATCTAGTAAACACGTCCTTGAATGACCTTAACTGTTAACAGGACGTGAAACAAAATTAAACCAAACCAAATCTAGTAAACTATGCTTTACACCGAAATGCTTCATTTAAACAGCTTTTAATTCCCTCATTTTGTTACGGTAATAAGGTAAAATAATAAATATGTTTTTACTCATGTGCTGAAACGAACTGAGCCGCAAACAAAACGCTCCATGCTATAACGATCCGAGTACATCGTATTTACTTTAGCACTACCCCTCCCACATTTTCTTCTGTTAAAAATAAACGGTCGTCAGTAAAAACAGGAAACGAACAGATGTTCGAAATGATATGCACACATCGTGTACCATAAGTTTTCCTAGCCTGTGTTTTTCGCGTTGTTTAAGCGGAATTTCAATTAATGTAAACAGATTGTTTTCTAACAGCACACATGTATAACAATTGACAGAAACGGGCAAAAAAACGTTTTGTAAATGTCAACTGTGTTTGAGTTTTTTCAACAATATCGTCTTTTAAATTACACGACCCTTTCAATCGGTTTCTCGAATAAATGATAAACGGTGACCCGGTGCAATATTGAGAAACATGTATATAAACCCTACCGCAGAGGGGTCGCCAGGGACAGATCCCGAAATTCCGAAAGGAGGGGTCGCCAGGGACAGATCCCGAAATTCCGAAAGGAGGGGTCGAATATGTTTCAGAAGTGATGTCTGTGAATTTACCCCCCCCCCC